CTTCCTCGCATCTCTGTTTACTGTCTCTATTTTGCATTCCCTTTTACTTCGTTCTCTCAAATTGTGTGCAACACTGAGTGCCAGCCACGTCTCGTAAACCGTTAATGCCCAGCTCTTGCTGCACTCGGGCTCACGCTGTTCCTTGAAGTTTCTCAGAAACGCTTAGTAATAACAGACGAAAAAACCAAAACACCAATTGTTGACTCGAGGATTCTTTATTGTTACACCAACATATAAACAATGTTACAACTAAGGTCTGTGAGCAAATATTACAATAATGAATCACAATATTACTTCTGACAGTTGTCTCCTGACTTTTTTCTGAACAGCGACCGATGAGACGATGACTGTCGTATTGATGCCTCCGCGAAAATATAGGGAAGTTAGTTTTGAGCAAACAACCATGAATTGATCGTTCAATCTTCAACTACATTGACACTGAGTGTGGCAACTCGAAGTGCTGCACACCAGTGGAAATTTCTATGTTGAAATGTGTCAGTCGGTCAGCCGGAAGATTCAAGACTCACTCTGGATTTGATAATGTAAAGAAATGTGCGAGATGTCATAACTTTTGAAAAGTCGAAGAAAAAGAGCTAGTACATCTAATCGTGTCTTTTGTCCGGGGAGGATTAACTGATAAAGTATTTGTAATTTCCGGGATACCGTGTACCGTAAATGTCCAAAGATTGAGCATATAAAGTGAGTTTGCCGAGGCCAGAATACTTTACCATTCAGATTCCCTAGTTCGCCCGGTGAAATGCAGTCACTGTCTCCGTCAGCATTTCACATAACTCAGACGCACCCAACGAACACTTTCAACACAATTTCAGGCAAATCTCACCGTTTTATAGTTGCTACTGACAGTAATGAGTTTTTAACTTTGAAGATTCATTGTCTCTTTGTAAGCATTCCTGAACAAACTCTACTACTAGTTCAATCACAGGCAAGCTACCTTTCATTGGTACTATTAAAATTACCTTGAAGTCATAAATTGGTAGTTTTTGAAACACTCCCTTCCTTAATGGTGAACATGGCCCATTTTCACTGGGATTAAATGTCATTAAATTGTTGGATGTTCAAATATCGCATCGCGCAGGGTCATTCAAAGTTTTTGCCCAGCAAATCAGTTAAGTGATGTCTGAAGTATGTAGATGGAAAATGTAATGCATAAAAATCAAACCCATCATCATTAACTGGTCGTAAAACCTTCAGGACAAACTCTAGCAGGAATGAATATACTTTCAGGCCAGCTGTTAAGGTTAAGATTTGAAATTGTAAATCCAGTCCTTAAGTAGTTCAGAAGTTCAATTACACAGTCAAGTGCAGCATTTGCTTGCTGCTGTTGAACAAACATACCAATTAAACAATAGTCAAGCGCAACAAATATCTGGAAGTGTTCAGATCAGGTTAAGCCAATTAATTCAATTCCTTCAAGAGGATGGTTTAAGTTTACAAGCAGCTGAGAAAAATCTAGGTGAAGAGCGTAAACGCCGACTTCTGCAGGGAAATTAGCTTTAAAGTACAAAGTAACGGACAAGTGATAAACGAAATTCCCAGAGCGTCTAAGCGAACTTGAATTGGAAAGTTTTACGAAGACACCGGCTGCTGAAGTTATTCAGCCTTCATCATTAAATGCAGCACTTTTCTATTATGGATTAAATCACTCATCTGAGAATTCACCTAAGACGAAGAGTAAAAATATACGGATGAAACACGCATTTGTGTTAACGGCTTAATTGAGCACATGTCGTCGAGAAAAGGATCAGGTGAAATATATTACCTATTTTATTACACTTTATTGATCCACCTTAGCACTTTTACTATTCTAAAACAGCTTTCAATCGCTTGTAAACGTTGTACTTACCTCAATATTGGTTGGTTATCGTATGCCTACAACCATGGGATGAAAACAAAACGAAGTCGATTTTCCCGCTCAACCTGGAGGACAACTGTACAATTCAATAACTATACGGCCTGGTTCAGACAATGAGTGTAATTATGTATATGTATCAAATATTTAACTGTTGAAACATTATTAACTTGTAGACAATCTACGATTTGACATTATACCATACTTGATCGTGCCTGTAAAAATGGCATGCATTCTCATGTAAATGTTCATGTAAATGTTTATATGAAATTATTATTATATGAAGTAGATATTTCCAACTATAAATTTATTGATTACACTGCTAATCTCGATTTTGTAAATAACTCAGAAATGGATAAAAGCATTTTGATGAAATACTAGAATCAGCTGGAAGTTCTGTTAGACTTTCCGGTAAGCCAAAAGTCCGTTATAAACACACCAGAAGATATTTTACAAGTGACATTCGTGTTGATCAACGCTTTCAATTGTCGTATTGTTTAAATACTTGCGAATTCCCGACTTCTAACCTCTCTGTTGTTTGGTGATCCCCTAGAATTCACTCGCTGCAAATTACAATTATCACATTTGCATCATATACTTTAACCGAGGCATTTTCTTAGAAACCAACAAGATATAATACCGCCGACAAGTGTTGAAGAGAAACTGACGTCAAGATAGTCAGTATCCAGTTAATTTGCTGATGCACTCCCACTGATACCACGAGAATTATGGGACTTAGTCAGTTTACGCAAGCCTTGTTTATGCCTCAAACTTTAATTTACAGGCTGCTATTCAGAGGGATTCAACAACTGTAAGAGAAATTGTTAGACCATCAGCATAGTGAATAAAATTTAACTTGATAGAATTAGGTAAGTCAAGAGAAAAATAAAGAAGAGAATTGTAGGAAGTACAGCATCATGCGGCACACCAGTCTTCTTTAAGCCAATCGGTTGAGTGCATACCACTGAAAACTCCGCTGCTTCCTACGTCAGAAATAGGAAGACAATTACTTTGTTATTCAGGAATTAGTGTATGCCGAACCCAGCTTACTTGGCAAAAGTGCCCCTGGAATAGGATCAGAAGCATCAGTGAAGCCTAGATAGACGAACGAACAAACTTTGGATACGCATCCAGACTGGAAACAAAACCGCGGTGTAGTAAACTGACAGTAACCAAAGCGATTAAACTGCACTGATAACCAATTAGCTTGTGGTCACTGAAAGATTTCCAAGAGAATTCAAGGCAAGCAGGAGGGGTTTTACCGCATTTCTCTAGAATGGAGAAATCGTGTCAACTGGCCCGAACTTTAAATCTGATTTACATGATGATTTTGGTAGAAGTAAAATCCATTTCTTTTTCCAAGCAACAAGCACTGTGTCCTCGTATTATGATACATCCAGTATTTGTGCAAGAGAAAAATACAAAATGTCTGCACACTTCCGAAGCTAAATGCCTGGTACCTTATTGACACCTAGGCTGCATAATCGATCTGAGGCACATGAATGTATCCCTTGCATCAAAACCTGAAAATATAAATTTATGTGATTAAAGGCGTCAGCCACAAAAATTTAGCTTGCTGCCTTAGAAAGATGAATTTACCGCGTTTACATCAGAACAAGCTCCAAAAGAATTCCCCTATTTTCGTCTGGAAGTCGCAAGAATAAGCCTACAAATTATTGCCAGACTATAAAGGTTGGTAAGGTGGACGACATACTGTGAGATAGCCTTTTCTCAAATGAAGCACTCCGAAAAATTAATCAATTTAACTAGCTTCAAATGTATCGTCCAAATTCTACCTCGGTAACTACATTAATAGTGAGCCGAACCTGCAAATGATATTTTGAAAAGGTACAGGGCCGAAGTTCCGTCGTATCGCGGAGTCCATACAACAACAGCTGTCAACAGAAGTTATACACAGAGCCCATGCAAGCGGAAGGAGTGATAACGTAGAGGTTAACCGGAATTCTAGAGTGACACTACGGAGTCCTAAAGATGATTACTTTTATAATGCTGCAGTACGATCACGTTTTCATGTTTGCGATGTGCTAACACTGTACGCGGTCAAGGACAAACAACGTCGTATTGAGAAGCACAAGAGAAGACTTGAAAAGCCACATTGTTTTGATTTGACACTAATAACTAGTGTGATGCGTCTAGTCCTCTGATTGGTGTAGACTGAATTCTATCAGTCAGATTGTAATGCGACCACCATTCAAGCTAGCTCGCCATCACGGTGCACATTGATTTGATGGTGTTAGATGGTTGGAGCCACATCGTTAACGAAATCAAATTTAGAAAAGTAGGAAACGAACGAAAAAATATGTAACCGAGTAATATATATAACAAACGTAAAGCGATGTTTAGCATTACAATGGCAAGTATTCCACTGGCATATGTATAATAAGTCTGTATAAAAGTATTATGTGTACATGGATAATTTTTAAACGTACATTTAGAGTTAATATCGGGGAGCTACAACACCATTAAACCGCGTTAACGCCGTAACTGTGAAAATTTGGAAATAATGTACCATGTACTCCAGATATCATCAAATGTCTTCTCGCCGACATTTTCCGTTAGTGAGTTACAAAGAAAAGCTTAGAATGGCAATGCAGCGTAAGTTATATATCAGCTTCCAGAAACGTAACCACCAAGTTACTACTTGCCATTGTTGTAAAATGCATCCGATATTAACAGAAGAAGTCCCAAGAAGAAAACAGTCATGTGGAGAGGAGGACATCACTGACTGATGATTGGATATGTCAAGGAACTATCACTGATTAGCTTATACATAGCTGGTGAGAAGAAACTGCCCCAAATGTATATTATAGGGTATATGAGGAGAAACCAGAATGTTTAAGGCTGATGTTAATTTGTTTCTTAACTATCCTTTGACAAATTTCTTTTTGCTTAAATTTATGCTGCTTTCTGCAAGTAAGCAGCATGACTTTATACTTCCTTTACTACGTCCTTACTCAATAACTATAACTATTGATTTACACTAAAGCTTATCTGGATTAAGGTATCCGAAATTCATTTTGATATTTGGTAATTGTCTTCATGGGGTTGAACGCTATTTACTGTTAATACTGTTCATACACACACTCTCTACTGGGCATTGTTTGTTAGAATCCTCTTCGACCTCAATAGTACATTCGCGCGTTGTTTGTAATTGACACAATCTGGTAGGTTTCTTGTCGGGTCGCAGTGACGGTACTTATGAGATTATTCAGCCTAAATATCAAACAGCGTGAAGTATTTTGTGTGGCATTTGCTTTTTGGAGGAAAGTGGTTGAGCTTTTGACGACGATTTGCGGTTTACACTCACAATTGTAAGTTCGGTGGCACAGTACTAACCACGTGGTTAGGACTCTCGCCGACCATGCACATGATCCGAGGTTCGATCCCCTGCCGACGCACACCTGATATCTATGGTCGGCCTGCAAAATTTGGGCTACCGATATCCATGCTGAAAATTCCATACTTGTACTAAAAATACAGTGTGGAATCAAGCTGTAATCAAAAATAAAAAGTTCCTTCTCGTTTTAAGTTACGGTTCCATCGACCTGACTATTTTACTTTTTTGTATGTAATACATGACATTGGTAAAACATTTTTTTAATTCAATGTGTTACACAAACGCTTGATTTATTCAGTGGAAGGTTATTAAGCTTAACGAGACCTATATATCACATTTCTTACAAGAAAATTATAATCTAATTCTCTTTTCTTTCCCCAGCTCAGGTGGTAGAAAATTGTAGACCACACGAAGAAGCACGTCATGCCACGTTCTCAAATCGTGTCCACCCAGGGTTCGAATGCAAGTGTAAGCTGTACTGCTTCTTGAAGTACCGTGTAGTCGACGAAGTATTCTGGCACTTTATAATATTTTTGGGATTGGTTTTATAATGGTTTTATTACTCTAATGTATTTATCACACATTGACAGTACTTAATGGTACTCATCATGATTTTAGAAGCTTATTGTTTGATTTCTTGGTAAATACTGGTGAAATTTTACTGGTGTACATAGTGGCTACTTATCAATAGGTGGCTTTTTGTATGTTACTTTGACAATTAAGACGCAAATTCAGCATTTTAAACGGCAAATGAGATATTAGTCATAATTCAGTTTATTTTCACTCTCACTTACTGAAATGGAACTGAACAAATATCAAGGTGATTTGATTGTGAGCAAATAAAGTATCAATGTGTTTCATCAAATAAAATTATTCTGCAGTGACATTGTTTCTTACCACTAATATTTTATACATATATCAGTGGAAATCAGGGATACAGCGGAGCAGAACGGCTATGCTTAACAAACGATTAAGTAATGTGGAGGCGGATGCAACTGATATACTAGTGACGACCGTCCACGAACTTTTACGTGGCTACGAGTACGATTATATTTTCGCGCACCACTTCTGGAAGATGTGACATCCCGATCAACAGCCTTATGTAGGGTTTTCACGTCAGATATATGTCAAGTGTTGGACGCCGGCAGGTATGCTTTTTCCAGGATTTATCGGAAGGTGGAAATAGGATATATAATAAATTATCTACTATCTTCGTAACCAGTCTTTACTTCAAGGCTGAACGAGATAAGTCGACAAGAGTACATTTCATGGAGTAACTAAATGAAAGGCAATTAAATCTATAGTTTAGGTCTGTCTGTCTGTTTTCGACATAGAACTTTGCACAAATGTGCGGAAGTTCAAGTCGCCACACTCCGTGTAGCACGCGAAGCAAGAGAAGAAAGTACAAGAAAAGCATAATAGAAACAGTGAGCAGAGGTGTGAGACAAAGGAGTAATAAAGAAATACAAAACAGTTTCATTGAAGATCATAAGTCACAGGGAGTGGATGCATCTGCGCCACTGAGAACGATTTTGAGCCATGTCACCAATTGTTTCCAACCATAGATTTTTACCGTCCCGAGGACCCCAGCCTGGAAGTCTACACCTTCCTACGTGGCTTAGACCAACTGTTGTGGATTTCATTGACTGATGCCAAGTTTTTGTTTGACCGCCGCTAGCTTTTTTCCAGCCTGACCCTATATCCGCTAACATAGCTCGTCGAGGGAGGCGATGGCTTGGCATACGTAACACATGTCCTAACCATCTCAGTCTTTGTAGCTTCACGACTTCGTCGATTGATTTCCCCTGTTTACCTAGAACTCTACGCCTAACCTCCATGTTGCTCACCTTATTATGCCACTTTACACGGGAAATAGAACGCAGGCACCTATGATCAAAGACAGCTAGTCTTTTCATGTCTTCCACTCTCAGTGGCCAGGTCTCACAACCATAAAGGAGGACGGAGCGGACTGATGAGCAGTACACCCGCCCTTTGGTCGATAGTCGAACATCTCGTCTACGCCAGAGTCGGCGTAAACTAACAAATGCGAAACGAGCCCCTTGTATTCGTGCTGAGATTTCGTCAGAGATCAGCCCGTTGGGGCTGATGGTACTTCCCAAATAAGTGAAGCGGTCAACGTGCTCTACCACTTCACTTCCTATTTTTAAACTAGGCGTCGATGTAGTCCAGTCCTGTAACATCATCTTGCATTTGGCGGGAGCGAATCGCATGCCAAACATTCGTAGATTGCGGCTCAAGGTGTTTAGAAGACTCTGCATTTCGTCAGCGTCTTCGCCTAGAAGGACTATATCGTCTGCATATTCCAAGTCAACGAGATTATTCCCGGTAGCAAGTCAATCCCTGAGTCGCTGAAGTCACCTAGGGTTAAGTCCATTAACACATCTATGATGAAGTTGAATAGAAAAGGAGATAATGGGCATCCTTGACGGACACCACTGGTCGTCATCAGTTCAGATGACAGCTCGCCGTAAGCCCTCACCTGGCTGTATGAGTACGAGTAGAGTGCCTTAATCAGTGCAATATATTTTCTTGGAATTCCCTTTACAGCCAAGCATCTCCAGAGAACTTCCGATCGACAGAGTCGAATGCTGCCTTTAGGTCAAGAAATATAATGACTGTTGGACGCCGGTAGGAATGCCTATGTTCTAGAATCTGTCGGAGGGTGAAGATATGATCAATACACCCTCTTCCTGGTCTAAAGCCTGCCTGGCTCTCTCGTGTTTGTGCTTCCCGAGCACCACTCAGTCTACGCATGATTATTGAGCCTAAGACTTTAGATACTATATTAGTCAAGCTAATCCCTCTGTGATTATCACAGGAAGACTTGTCTCCCTTCTTGTATATGGGGATAATCAGTGACTTACACCAACCCGATGGGACTTCTTCTGATTCCCAGACGCTGCCTAGTACCTCAGTTAATCCAGACAGTAAGCTGTCTCCACCGTACTTAAATACCTCTGGAGTCATTCCATCAGGTCCCGCTGCTTTGCCTAGTTTCAGATTGGTGACAGCTTTAGTAACCTCAGTTAGGGACGGAGGACCTGTGTCTATATCCCATTCAGGGAGGTGTTGGATGCTCGGAAGGTTGAGCGTGGCTGTGGGCAAATTAAACTGCTCCTCATAATGCTCTTTCCAACGATCCAGTCGTCTATCCTGGGAGCTAATTATAGTGCCATTTTTTTCCGAGATTGTCTCACTAATGATTTGTCTTCTCCCACCCGTTTCCCTGATGAGTCTAAAGAGTTGCCTGGTGTTGCCTATCCTCGAAGCTTTCTCCATCTCTTTGGCTTTTGTCGCCCACCACTGTTCACGGTCCTTGCGGAGACTTTTCGTAAGTTTCCTCTTGTGCAGCTTTCGCTCCTCATTGAATTCGGAGCTCGCCGGAATAAGTCTTCTAGCATCTATCAGTTCGGATGAGGCGGTGGAGATCCAGTGGTTTTTACTCACCTTTGGGTTTACCTTATTCACAGCTTTTACAGCTGTATCTATGGCTGCCTGGATATTTTTCCAAGCTTCTTCAGGGTGAGCACAGCTGTCGAACACAGATATGTGTTTAGCTAGTTCTTCCTCAAATACGGATTTAGTTTCCTGATCGAGCTGGGGACGTGATGGTTTTACCGCCAGCTGTTTCCTACGTCCGTTCAGTCGTAAGCACACCCGAGCGCGGACCAGTGCATGGTCGGTATCTACGCACGTGTTCCAGAAGGAGCGACAATCTCCTACCGACCCACGCCAACGATAGCTTATTGCTATGTGGTCTATTTGTGTCCAGCGTTGGTTTGATGAAGGGGGTCTCCAAGTCAAACAGTGTCTCTCCTTGTGTTTGAAGTTAGTGCTTACAAGAAACAAATGATTATCAGAGCAGAACTGTAGGAGACGGTCACCGTTGTCGGTTCGCTGGCACGGAACTCCATAGGTGCCACCGACATCCTTCTCAGATTGACACAATTTCCCTACTTGAGCGTTAAAGTCACCAGCTAGAACGACTATGTCTGAGCGTTTAGCCTTTCGCACCAAACTAGACAGCTTTTGGTAGAACTCATCCTTCGTTTCATCTGAACTGCAGTCAGTGGGGGCGTAGGCGGAGATTACGAAAAGGCATCGGCGAGTAGTGCAGTCCTTCCTCCTTCTTACTGATCCGTTCAGGCGGACAGCACACATTCGGCTATCTACCGGGATCCAGTCAAGCAATGTCTTTTCTGCCCTAGTACTCAAAGCTATCCCTACGCCAGCTAATCCTCGTGAACTAGCTGTGGCATCTCCTGACACCCTCAAGGTGAATTTTGCAGATTCAACCTGTTGGCCAGGTGGGGTTAGGTGAATAACCACACTTGGGTCTTGTATGCGTGTTTCTGAAACACAACATACATCAATGGCTCGTGATGCCAGGGTCTTGGCTAGTGATGCTTGTTGTCCTATTTGGCAAAGTGTCCTAACATTAAGAGCTCCTATATGAAATTGGTGGCGCGGCTTTAAGAGGCTGTCGGTGGTGGTTTTTTGGCTTCCATCGTTTTTAGTGGACGCAGAGTGGAGAGGAAGTGGAGAGCTATCAAGTCGAGGAGTTGCATCAGTGGAAGGAAGGCAAGATGATAGAGATGAAGATGAAGACAAAGATGAGTGAGTAATAGAGAGGTTTCGTGTGCATTTCGGATTGTGAGGGCGATTGTTACTTCCCGGCTGCCCACACCGTGGAAGTTGGTTGCGTGACCGCAGAGCCCAGGGGACAACTGCTTGAGGCCGGTCACACGCGGCCTGTTTTTGTTTGTTCTTTTTGTTTTGTGTCTCAGTAGCATATTTATCACTCCTGCCCTGTGACACGGCAGCAGGAAGCGCGGTCGTTGTTAATCCGGGCCACGGCCGATCCGGCATGAAATTTTGTGAATTTGTATTTATCATGATGTTGGATTGGGTAGCTGCTTTTTGTTTAACCGCTATCCAAACAACCTGCCTGGCATGGTAGTACCTCAAGAGACATAAGTCTCAGCCAGTATAGCTTGAATAGATCATTGCGGTGTTCAAGCCCGACCACCACGTCAAGGTAGCAGCTTTCGGTCGGGATATATTTTAGGTAACTGAAAGCTACTTGATCTACTGTCATTTTTTACTGTACACTATGTAAAGTCCTTAAAAACGGTTTACCGGATGTATGTAGTTTTCTTTTATCCCCCAACACGATAGGGATTGGCCGTGTGTTAACAACCTACGTTTGTGCTAGTACCGCAGAATGCTGTCAGTAAATGTTTTTACCATGTGTAATATGTAGAGTACTAATCCCTTTCAATCATTTCCTCAGAATCATTTCATTTACTTAGTGAGAACTTTTCGATTTTACTAGTATCGTGATAAATATGTATCTGTTTTTTTGAAAATTTCAGTATTCGAAAAGAGAAATCAATCCAGAAAAGCATTCTATGACGAGGCGTTCGCAAACCTTATCAACTGAGAGTCCACAGGCAAGTGTAAGTCCTACTGCTCGCTGAAATGTCATTTAGTCTATGCAGTATTGTGTTGCCTAATAATATATTTGTATCGGTTTTATTACTATCATGAATTTATCACTCACTGACTGTAGTCAAGCGTATTTGCCGTCATATGGCTATTAAAGCTTATTAATTGAGGTTTTGGCATAATCAAGTGAGAAATTTAATGTAATTGAATCATTTCTGATCTATTAAAATTGTCAGTAGTTGTTTGTTTTGTATCATCTTCCCTTTTAATGGTATCGTGCTGTTTATGGTGTAAGACTCCTTATGATTGGCAGTTTGGACTAAGCTGTTGATTCCAGTTGTGTTGTAGACGTCAAATTAACCAGGACAAGTAGTTGACTTAGACTGAAAGTTATCCTGGATTCCTTGAAATGTTGCTTCAACTTGCAAAACCAACTGAATTGTCGATGGCTCTTGAGTGGTCGAAACAAATGTGAATTACGTGTGTTCGTAAAGCTCTGCTACTGAGACACACCAAACAAAAAATAACGAACAAAAACAGGCCGCGTGTGACCGGCCTCAAGCAGTTGTCCCCTGGGCTCTGCGGTCACGCAACCAACTTCCACGGTGTGGGAAGCCGGGAAGTAACAATCGCCCTCACAATCCGAAATGCACACGAAACCTCTCTATTACTCACTCATCTTTGTTTTCATCTTCATCTCTATCATCTTGCCTTCCTTCCACTGATGCAACTCCTCGACTTGATAGCTCTCCAATTCCTCTCCACTCTGCGTCCACTAAAAACGATGGAAGCCAAAAAACCACCACCGACAGCCTCTTAAAGCCGCGCCACCAATTTCATATAGGAGCTTTTAATGTTAGGACACTTTGCCAAATAGGACAACAAGCATCACTAGCCAAGACCCTGGCATCCCGAGCCATTGATGTATGTTGCGTTTCAGAAACACGCATACAAGACCCAAGTGTGGTTATTCACCTAACCCCACCTGGCCAACAGGTTGAATCTGCAAAATTCACCTTGAGGGTGTCAGGAGATGCCACAGCTAGTTCACGAGGATTAGCTGGCGTAGGGATAGCTTTGAGTACTAGGGCAGAAAAGACATTGCTTGACTGGATCCCGGTAGATAGCCGAATGTGTGCTGTCCGTCTGAACGGATCAGTAAGAAGGAGGAAGGACTGCACTACTCGCCGATGCCTTTTCGTAATCTCCGCCTACGCCCCCACTGACTGCAGTTCAGATGAAACGAAGGATGAGTTCTACCAAAAGCTGTCTAGTTTGGTGCGAAAGGCTAAACGCTCAGACATAGTCGTTCTAGCTGGTGACTTTAACGCTCAAGTAGGGAAATTGTGTCAATCTGAGAAGGATGTCGGTGGCACCTATGGAGTTCCGTGCCAGCGAACCGACAACGGTGACCGTCTCCTACAGTTCTGCTCTGATAATCATTTGTTTCTTGTAAGCACTAACTTCAAACACAAGGAGAGACACTGTTTGACTTGGAGACCCCCTTCATCAAACCAACGCTGGACACAAATAGACCACATAGCAATAAGCTATCGTTGGCGTGGGTCGGTAGGAGATTGTCGCTCCTTCTGGAACACGTGTGTAGATACCGACCATGCACTGGTCCGCGCTCGTGTGTGCTTACGACTGAACGGACGTAGGAAACAGCTGGCGGTAAAACCATCACGTCCCCAGCTCGATCAGGAAACTAAATCCGTATTTGAGGAAGAACTAGCTAAACACATATCTGTGTTCGACAGCTGTGCTCACCCTGAAGAAGCTTGGAAAAATATCCAGGCAGCCATAGATACAGCTGTAAAAGCTGTGAATAAGGTAAACCCAAAGGTGAGTAAAAACCACTGGATCTCCACCGCCTCATCCGAACTGATAGATGCTAGAAGACTTATTCCGGCGAGCTCCGAATTCAATGAGGAGCGAAAGCTGCACAAGAGGAAACTTACGAAAAGTCTCCGCAAGGACCGTGAACAGTGGTGGGTGACAAAAGCCAAAGAGATGGAGAAAGCTTCGAGGATAGGCAACACCAGGCAACTCTTTAGACTCATCAGGGAAACGGGTGGGAGAAGACAAATCATTAGTGAAACAATCTCGGAAAAAAATGGCACTATAATTAGCTCCCAGGATAGACGACTGGATCGTTGGAAAGAGCATTATGAGGAGCAGTTTAATTGGCCCACAGCCACGCTCAACCTTCCGAGCATCCAACACCTCCCTGAATGGGATATAGACACAGGTCCTCCATCCCTAACTGAGGTTACTAAAGCTGTCACCAATCTGAAACTAGGCAAAGCAGCGGGACCTGATGGAATGACTCCAGAGGTATTTAAGTACGGTGGAGACAGCTTACTGTCTGCATTAACTGAGGTACTAGGCAGCGTCTGGGAATCAGAAGAAGTCCCATCGGGTTGGTGTAAGTCACTGATTATCCCCATATACAAGAAGGGAGACAAGTCTTCCTGTGATAATCACAGAGGGATTAGCTTGACTAATATAGTATCTAAAGTCTTAGGCTCAATAATCATGCGTAGACTGAGTGGTGCTCGGGAGGCACAAACACGAGAGAGCCAGGCAGGCTTTAGACCAGGAAGAGGGTGTATTGATCATATCTTCACCCTCCGACAGATTCTAGAACATAGGCATTCCTACCGGCGTCCAACAGTCATTATATTTCTTGACCTAAAGGCAGCATTCGACTCTGTCGATCGAGAAGTTCTCTGGAGATGCTTGGCTGTAAAGGGAATTCCAAGAAAATATATTGCACTGATTAAGGCACTCTACTCGTACTCATACAGCCAGGTGAGGGCTTACGGCGAGCTGTCATCTGAACTGATGACGACCAGTGGTGTCCGTCAAGGATGCCCATTATCTCCTTTTCTATTCAACTTCATCATAGATGTGTTAATGGACTTAACCCTAGGTGACTTCAGCGACTCAGGAATTGACTTGCTACCAGGGAATAATCTCGTTGACTTGGAATATGCAGACGATATAGTCCTTCTAGGCGAAGACGCTGACGAAATGCAGAGTCTTCTAAACACCTTGAGCCGCAATCTACGAATGTTTGGCATGCGATTCGCTCCCGCCAAATGCAAGATGATGTTACAGGACTGGACTACATCGACGCCTAGTTTAAAAATAGGAAGTGAAGTGGTAGAGCACGTTGACCGCTTCACTTATTTGGGAAGTACCATCAGCCCCAACGGGCTGATCTCTGACGAAATCTCAGCACGAATACAAGGGGCTCGTTTCGCATTTGTTAGTTTACGCCGACTCTGGCGTAGACGAGATGTTCGACTATCGACCAAAGGGCGGGTGTACTGCTCATCAGTCCGCTCCGTCCTCCTTTATGGTTGTGAGACCTGGCCACTGAGAGTGGAAGACATGAAAAGACTAGCTGTCTTTGATCATAGGTGCCTGCGTTCTATTTCCCGTGTAAAGTGGCATAATAAGGTGAGCAACATGGAGGTTAGGCGTAGAGTTCTAGGTAAACAGGGGAAATCAATCGACGAAGTCGTGAAGCTACAAAGACTGAGATGGTTAGGACATGTGTTACGTATGCCAAGCCATCGCCTCCCTCGACGAGCTATGTTAGCGGATATAGGGTCAGGCTGGAAAAAAGCTAGCGGCGGTCAAACAAAAACTTGGCATCAGTCAATGAAATCCACAACAGTTGGTCTAAGCCACGTAGGAAGGTGTAGACTTCCAGGCTGGGGTCCTCGGGACGGTAAAAATCTATGGTTGGAAACAATTGGTGACATGGCTCAAAATCGTTCTCAGTGGCGCAGATGCATCCACTCCCTGTGACTTATGATCTTCAATGAAACTGTTTTGTATTTCTTTATTACTCCTTTGTCTCACCTCTGCTCACTGTTTCTATTATGCTTTTCTTGTACTTTCTTCTCTTGCTTCGCGTGCTACACGGAGTGTGGCGACTTGAACTGCCGCACATTTGTGCAAAGTTCTATGTCGAAAACAGACAGAAAGGTAAAGCTCCATAACTTCACCGTGTGGTTTGCAATAAACTTGAATGATAGCAGGCTATGATTTTATACTGTCAAGTAACAGCAGCAATAACACACACCTCTTGGTATTGTATATGTATTGACTTCGTTAAGCACAAGCTGAACGTAGAACCACATATTCCTAAGATGATGTCAGCAATTTCTGTCTCTTGATTGGAAAGCTTAACGCGAATATTCTACAGTACTGAAGAACTAAAACGTATATGCCACTAGTACGTATGCGCTAACTTCCACCTAAACTGCAGATGGTTATTAGAGTGAACAGGCTCTCCTCCACTTTCTCATGATATTTTGTCAATTGGAAATAGACAACTCGATGTAGACGAGTGGACTTTGATTCTAATTTATTTGTCTTTACCATTAACTAACTGGATTGTTTAAAATTCACTTCAAAACTATACATAACTGCGATCGTTATATTTATCTACATTGGAAATCCGATTAAAGTATGAATGTAGAAACGACAGTTAAGTTACAGCCTTTGAGACTGAGACCACATGATGAATTGCTTCAGTGTATTATTTGACCTCCAGGCCTCGCATTATGCCTCCGATAATTTCCTGGAGCAATAATAGCGCCTCACAAAAGAAAATTAGGAACAAGTCTGCTTCGTATATTGGACTGCATATTAAAAGCTCGCAGTTACTGACATAATAAAGGCTTATTTAATGGAGATACTTGCTTGTCGTCGGTGTGAATTGTGTATATACATGCTGTTTTTTTTAACAATGCAGGTGGGAATACTCATTAACTTGCATAATTGATTGTCTTTTCAACCGTATCTGACCCTCACTGATTTCAATACACATCTTAATTAAAATAAAGCGTTTTCTCAATCATATATAGGGAATACAGTTCAAATTTACCGATTACCATTATGTATATCCATTAAATCACCTAAACATCTCTCATAAGAAAAACAAATTTGATATGTAACATTTTCTTTCTTACGTCTAGACTAACTCAACCGTTGGTGATGAAAGTATTAATCAGAACTCAAGGAAAAGACACTTACGGCCTATCCATTCAAAAGTTTTTGTGCCAACCATATCTTATAGACCTCCAATAGTCGCTGTTACCCCTAAACTTGCCACAGCAACCCGTGCCGTTTTACGGGCAAAATATGACAATGAAGCCAACCGAAGGAGAAACATTTTAGAACAGAAACTAGAAGAAATTAGACAGCGTCAGGCGGAAGAAGAAGCTGAAGAAATAAAACGACTTCGTAAGGAGACTGTACACAAACCAGAACCCATCAAAAGATACAAATAAGTCAGAATTATTAACAACACTACCTGACTCTCTTTATATGTTGACTTTGAATACAATCCCTTATGTGTATTCTCACTTCAAACAGCGTTACATCGAACTTCAGGAACTCATGGAGCACCTTTAGTGCGAATGGTTGGGAGAGTTATAAGATTTAAGTGTAAAATATACCCTACCGAGATTCAGTCGGCTCGAACGAAGAATGTTCTTTTCACTAAATTCACTTAAGGTCATTAGAATTATAAAACGTGTTATCATTATGATAACAGACATGTTCATGAGGAGCTAAGATTAATTAGACCGTCTTTCAGTTTCAGGGTGAATGTTGAACGGCTGCTGAAGGATAGAAATTTCTTTTTGTCCCTCTGATTAGATGTCAGGATAAAGTATCTCCCGGCCAAATTAAACTTTAAGCACCACATACTACCAATGGAGTGCGACCGCACCAATGACCTTGAAACGCTCACTGAGCAAGTTAGTAAAACCTGGCAAATTATGTTGTCATCACCAATAAAGTATGCTCATCGAAGTATTCTGCAATTAAATGGGATATCTGGTTAGTTTCATTTTGGGAAATATTAAGTTACGCCTTGAGCCAAGGACAAGTTAGGATCAGGTTAACCTAATAAAGGCAACGCTAGGGCTGGTTCGATTTAGATTAGTTGGTTCGGGGATATTTTCACATTAGGGTCAGGTTCAGGAAAGATTAGGGTTAAAGGACTTAAACGATTGCATGAATAGAATGTAGTTAAATTACTCTGTCGGTACAGGAATAGTGCACTATGGTGGAGTATAATTCCGCTGTGGGTAAAATTTATTTTGATAAAGTTTCAGTGTTATACAGTAATATTTACTGATGAAGTTTCGGGAACAATTTATCGCTCAGGAAATATTACTGTATTACACTACGAGACTTTATCAAAATAAATTTTACCCACAATGGAATTATACTCTGTTGATACTTCAACCTAAAACTGACAGTTATTTTTGTCACAAGGTGTCCTCTGCAACGTTTTTCTACAATTTTTATGCATTATTTCATAAATATATGTATTGTAGACGCGGATGTAATCGCCGTTTTCTCCGCAGTTGTCGGTTCATTCATGTGACTGTCTGAATATGGTTATCTAGATGGACTAATCTGCTTTTCTCGTTAACAAACCATCGAGAAAGTAGAAAGAGTCCCTGTGTTCTCTTTCACAGGTTAAATGAATCGCTTGGTTACTGCTATTAAAGTGGCTCAAATCTTCACCGTGGATTTCAAAGTCGCCGTCGATGTCTTATCTTGGTTATTTCATCCTTCAATGAGTCAATATTTAGTCTCGCTAGAAATGGACCTGCAAACATAGGACCCAGTGGAGATCTTATATTGATTCCACTAACTTATTGGTACATTCCATCATGAAACAGGAACCGAGCATTTGCTGTACATTTACACCATATGTAACTTCCTGTCCATCACCAATTCGTAGGATGAAACACCAAGCAATGCCATATATGTTTTTCGGTTGTGAATAGGTTTTAATCCCATAAATACAATGAATGGCAGCTTTTACACTGTACTTCACGAGATAATCATGCACACTTCTAGAATTGTAGGGAAAGAAATCCAACTATCGTACGCAGAAAGAAATGGCGATTAACCTGAGTTTAGCTTATCAATATTTACTTCACTAATACATGTATGGCTTAAATTTCTTTATTATATAAGATACTTTAAGCGATTCACAAGAAGTATCTAGCTTTCTTCACCGAACACAACTCTGCCCTGCAATCAGGGTAGACAAACTTTGTTGGCCTTAAGGCCCAACAGATTTAACTAGGAAAATATAATTTACCAAATTACTAAGTCTGACTGACATAATGGGGTCAATTAGGTTATCGGGGATTGACCACCGAATCAATATCAAACACGCTGAGTCCATTTGATGGGACGTCTATCCTGAACACGACTAATTGCAATAAGCAAGATGGTAAGGAAGTCGTGAATAAATTCGTATGATTATGAGCAATATATTGTGCTCCAAACGTCAACATCCAGCTCTTTATACCCTGCGCTATAACAGGTCATTACACTTATCTACATAGGGATTATTCTACTACAGTGCCCATATTTCATTGACACTAGTTATTAACTGCAATTATCAATAGTGAAGTGATTCTTCTCAACTGAGTGCTGGGAACACGAACCTCAGAAGTAATGACAGTCATTAACCAACAACAAGGATCGGGTTTGTCAGACGAATATTGCATCAGGCCACCTCACCAAAGTTGAACCCAATCTAGTGTTGTGGCAGACTCAGTTGCATACCACTTGCTTTCTCCACAGCCGATAAGAAGTCACGATTTAGTAGAGAAAGGAAGACTAAAACAATATCAGATCTCCATAGATGGTTGGTTAAAGGGCAAGAAACAACGTTTTCGTTCCAACCCTAACCCTCCTCTCCTTGTTATAAGCAGGTAAATACAGAACGATAAGAGAATTTTATATTAAAGAAACCTCTGTATAGTGTACAAAAATGGCGAGAGTGAAAAAAAAGAATAACAAAACAATCAAATATTACTTTAAATTAGTACAACAAAAGTGAATGCCTACTGTACAGAAGTTGTAGCTAGCTACCATATAAAAAAGACAAAAAACATGTATACGAAATTAAAATTACTTCATTGCGTGTATCACAAAAAGAAGTGTTTGCCTATTCACCTTTTTCTTTATCATCCTTATAATACAAGAAAATAAAGCTAAACAGTATTAGGCCCACCATCATTGATATAGCGCTAGTGTAATATGGATATGCAGATACGATGAATCTCTCGTATTGAGTGTGAGTGAATGGACGAACAGGAACCTGTGGGGCGAAGAAAAAGAACATTTGTGAACGCGGTTCCACATTTCATTACAGAAAGAAAGAGAAACCTATATGTAATTCAAGAACTTACTTGTATAACACTGAAAAGATGTGTGTAACCGATGCGATAATAGTCGACCACAAATTTGAACACTCCATACACATCGGGTAACTTCATAACAAGTTTGTATTCACCATCTGAAAAAGTAATACACAGTATGTACATGTATATATAAACATGAGATATTAATAGAAACCAGCTGTCACTTAACAGTGAAAACAGATAATGGTCATCACCGCATTTCCTTCGTCTTCATCTTTACTCAGCTGAATAATTCCCAGCTACACAGAGAAAACTTCGTAGTGGCTTTATTCTGAAGTGTTTACCAACCCTGCTAAACAATGGAGTGGTTGCCAGGGATTCAGCACCCACACCCCAAGCTATACAACTTCAAGTAGTTGCAATCTGTAAAATCTGATTTATGTTCTGAAGTCCAAATACCCACATTCCCTGATTCTTTTCAAATAATAGCAAGTTTAAACTAATTGCTTCAGCAGGGGATTGCGCGAAGCTAATGTGAAGGTCACGTCGACAACTGATTAATGGCCTGGAAACAGCAAGTAAATCTTGTGACAACCTGGAGCTTGTTCAAACTGTTAACCCCAGGGAAACTAGTGTCAGTGGGACATTATGTCAGGTGGACAGTACATAGACTAGACGTCTTTACACATATTCTTGACGGAACACATTGGAAAGAATTTTAGATGGCTTAGTGGTACAGCATTTCCAGCTTGGTAGCACTGTGCTCTATAACCGGCCGATAATAATATAAGGAAGTTTAGAAGGTACTTTAAATATAAGACGACAGTGCCATGGAGGACATTTCCGGTTTCTTCTAAAGACCAACGAAATAACTGCACTGTTCAAGAGAATATGATAGACTGGGTGTCTCATCTGTAGAATTGGGTCGTCTTATTTACTCTTATAAGAGTAAATACAAATTATATAACCATTCGGGTAATATATTACTAGCAGTGGCAATCAAGTTATGTTATAATTATCACGCTGTTTATCCCCAACCAGTTACATTCACACATTTCCGAGCTGAGCATGTCCGATAATTGTTTTCAATTGTCCTTATCTATATAAGATAACTTGTATCTAATTAGACAACGTGCAAACTTAATATATAACGCGAAATCGATTAGGGTACGCTGGAGATCTTAATTTACTTCAGCTTACTCTACAAACAAGTGAGCTGAAATTTATAGAAAAATCTAAAATCACTAGTCGCGACTACAGTGTATGATATGGAACAAAATAAAAATAACTTTTTCAGAATACTAACTGTAAACAATAACTTCATGCAAACACAAATATTGATGTGCGTGCTATAAGCATACTGGTTATGTTTCATACCTTTATGTTGCATTTTCTTCCTAATAAACGGATCAATTCGCACAAACTCCAGCTGAACATCATCTGCATGAAAAGGAATCCAATTTCCATTATCATCCTTTGTTTCTATTTTGATTGTGTAAACAACTTGATCCATTATTGTATACTGACTAGGTGGATCAGTTTCACCCAAACGGTGATGTTTAACGTAGGTATATCGTAACTGACCTCGCTCACCCAGGACCCATCGCAGTAGGCCGTCAGTAAGCTTTTCGTTTCCTGAAACAACAACCCTACGACAAAGAAACATCCACAAAAATGAAAGAACTGTAAGTAACATGAAGGTTTAAGACCTGCGCATAACTGAAAAAGATGGTATGATGAAAATGTGGACTAATGCACTTCAAAATCGATTGGAATTAGGTGAGATTCTACAAGTCTAGTCTTCATCCCGGCTTGCAATACTTGACAGCAGACGCTATAATGAAGATAATTTAAGTCCGAAACCATTCTATTTTTGACCACCTTAATTTCTAAACACTAGATTAAAGGCTTGACGGTCTCATCACGTTAAAGCAACTTTGAAGAAACCTACGATAAAAATATTTATATTCTGCATAACTACTTACCAATCGTCAGCTTAACAGTACAACAAAATTAAAGCTGCGGATGATACCTGGTACATCTCATTTGTAGACAAAGTAGCATCAGAACAAGACCGAATCCCTCACTTACCAACAAATACTGACAAACCACTGAAATCGAACCTCAATGCTTCCGGCACTAAACTTTTATTTAGTTGACCAGAAGTTCAGATTAGGTTCTGTTGACTGATGTTTGGGATCCATGTCGTCACTACACTGATGGATACAGAGAATGTATCTACGAAGGTCAGAAAACCTTGATTCCACAAAGGTCGTGTATATAGTATCCAGAATGCGAAAGCAGTAAATGCCATATGAATATCCGTTTCGATACCTATAAGTTTAGGAAGGCTGCAACAAACCAGACCCCACACAAATGAAGCATCACATCAAAGAAACCCTAGATTCAATTACAACCATCTATAAGTTACCACATCTATGATTTCGAGAACAATATATTCGTATACAGTTCGTTGTCATCATACTGTTGCTACCAAACAATAACTGTTCTGAAATCGTGTCTCCTTTACGCTTGTCTCCTACGATACCAACACAATAATACAAACCAAATAGCAGGAACGTTTAGTCAGAAATCTAGAAAGCCTTACTAGTGATACACTGAGGATGGTTTATCTAAGAGTCAGATAAAAAATGCCAGTGGAATACTCCATACAGGTTCTGCGACAACCAGCTGAAAAGGTACCTGAGCATATCTGGAAATCCCATGACACTGATGTTGCACTACCCCTCAAAACCCAATCTGTATGGCCAAAATACATCCCTACTAAGTCTATTGTGCATATTAGGGCACGTTTTATTGGAGCATGAAGCATATTATCAACAAGTCAGTTGTTTCGTTATCTCTACCATTGAAATCCTCGTTCGGCATCTGCTGACTTCCTTCGCCCGTGTACCACCTAGTTATCCATCAAATAACGTGTATGATGTGCGGTAATTCGTCTAGTTACAGTTTTTGGTTGTCAGATTTGGCTATTGATAATTTAGAAAATATTCACGGCTTCTAATCACATGTCGTTCAATTCCTCACGATAGACGAAGCAATGTGATCGGGAGAAGTGAACTCAGGTTTAGGATACGAGGAATTTAGCGTGTAGTATGTTAGGCTCTATTGATTAATAGCTTGGCCCCTGCCTTACTTGTAGAACAATGCTAGCTGAAAGTGGCTTAACCAAAACACAGATTCTGATTGGTAGTTTGAGTCATATATACGGGTGTAGGGTGACTAGCTGGGGTCTTTAAGATGTTAATAACAAATAGTTGGAACATGTTGATGTGGCACAAAAACGATTACAAGGACAAGATTCCAAAATATCTACACTAATCTAACTATTCTCTCATCGTTTATTGTAGCTTCATTAATATTCTTTACTTTTCGTAGTGTAACAGAAACTAAACTGCCGTATTTTCGTACCAAGTTCTACGTTGATAAGGTGGTCAGTAACCGATCGACGTGCGATGAAGCAACTGATATATCTACCTCTAAAAACAACCTAATTCAGGTATGCAGCAATCATTAGGATATTAATTTGCTAATATTTGCGTCGAAAACCGTGAGTGTTTTTTACTTAGCAAGGTTTTCAAGACGCTTGTAAACAATTTGTTAAGTGCATTTTAGATTTCATTCAGGCCATAGACAGATTAATACCCATTAATTATCTCACATTTCTACGTATTGCAAGTCAGAAATCGTTGTATTCATTTACCTTAGAAGTGTCTAAATTTTGTTGGACACTACAGCTGCTTTTAATTTGTTGTTAAAGAGAGGATATGAAAGTTCTTTCAGAAGTCTGAAAGATGTGTACAGGCAAAATGAAGGCATGCAGCCATTTAACACAACTATTTTCACATCAGCGGTAAGTTTAGAAAGGGTTTCCAAATCTTGCGGTCTCTATTCTGCCATTGACAACATCGTGTATGCAAATGTGAAAGATGTGTGCAGTGATGCAGACCTGGCTTTCGGTGGAAGACTATTAGATTCTGGGGATGCAGGAAATAGTCTTACAGTGAGATGACTTAAAAGCTCTCCAAAATGTATTTATTTATTTGATCAGCCTTTGTTTATGATATGCACTTTGCACTGATTGGGCGCAAAGCACTGTTAAAAGATTCTGTCTGTCTGTTTTCGACATAGAACTTTGCACAAATGTGCGGCAGTTCAAGTCGCCACACTGTTAGCAGGTGCCCGTGCAAATAGATGGACTATTGGATTCTGTTGGGATACTTGTGTATCAAAATAGCTACATATTTTCACAGATGAAACCTTTAATCGTACGAAAAACGTTAGTCACACGCTTACCTGGGTCATATATACTTGGATTAATAATGTGTCGAACCCCATGTCCGCCTCTTAGAACTAAGGGTATCTGGTGACTATATTTAGTCATGACTATCGTGGTATGACTGTCTACATTTAGCGATGACAGTAATTATGAGACCACGAGAAAATCTTCTTGGATAATATCAGATATGGCTCAGAATCGATGGCGATCACACTGCAGTTAACTTGACTGCAAAAATAATGAAAGCAACTGAGAAGGTACTCCATAAATATGCTTACATGCATTAACATATTGTTCCGTATGTTACTACTTTTTCCTTTTTACCCTTGTCCCAATATTTTGCGTGAGTAGTTCGACGCACCAACTGTGACAATTACATGTTAACAATATGGAGGAGCTAAATTATTTTTCAAAGTAAACAAAAACTTGAATCTTTTTTCTCAAATGTATATCAAGAATGGAGCGAAACTTCTGTCCCCATTCATAAGTACGGTCACACACTGTTCTGTAAGACGTTTAAAGCACGGTAATAAATGCCCGAGAAAAGTACGTACTAAGGAATAATAAATCCTAGATCTATCTACTCAGCTTTAAAACCCACTAGTTGATTTGAAGATATAAGTTGATAATAAACACTCTTGAAATCCACCAACATTTTGAGGCTAATTCTGAAAACATAAATACAATGGTCATAAGATGCATGAATACAAAGCGTGTAAGAAAATGCCAATGTGCGATACCAGGAAACCAACTAAACCTAAATACCTCTATTACTTCCACATGTACTTGGATAAATGTATAGTATCTATGGCTCCTCTAAACAGAAATACGAACACGGTGCTACCACTGAACTGTTAGCACAATCGTGTGATTTTCTTCAATTTTACTATGTACATCAAAACAAACTTACTTTTTGGATTCTGTTTCAAGAGTAGATTTGAAGAACGCGTTTGACAAGAAGTCTAAAGAACCAATGAAGAGTGCACGGGCGTTGTTTCTCGCTTGTAAAGCTGTAACAAGTTGAGTGTTGGTCCCAACAGTATTCGGGTAGTCTGTAACTGGCTTGTATGGATTGTAACTGTAAGATGTCTTTGAGCCATGCAAAACACCGATAAGAAGTGGATTAGCTGGATCAGCTGAAATACTACAACCGATTATACATTCAAGTCATATTACCCAATCCCACGATATAATAGCGGGGAATCCACTCTGCCTCCAGTTATTACGTCGCTCTTAATTAAATTGCTGACAGGTACACTAAGCAGCGAATGCTAAAAATGGCTTTAGCCTAGCATTAACTTACTAAACCGTTGTCTCTTTTGTCGTAATTAAAATGATCAATAACAAAAGTATTCTCCTCGTCGAACTCCACTCCACACTGACTTCCTAATTCCCGAATGGACTCCCCAACATTAGGTCCTGCAACCACAACTAGATTGCCTCCATCGTCAACGAAGTCAATAATCTGATTAACGTTCACTGAGCCACCAAACTCTGGTATTTGATTAATGAATAATATGCTACGTACCACTGACGGATGGTGCCAGAAGTATCAATCCAGAATAGATGTACTCCCCCAGATGTTTGAGTGACAGGGATGGATCATCAGCAAGCTTGGTAGTCACGTTGTAACCCCTGTCTGCATTGTTTGTACACAAATTATCTAGTGCTTACTTGTTAGTAAGTTGAGGAAGTCCGAATGAGTCTCTTTTAAATAGACGTTTTCCAAAAGCACAAGAAGATTTCGTGGGTTTCCTTCATAACCTGTCACAAAACTTAACGCCAACAGCTGCAGGACGACGTACAACCCAACCATCTTACAGTAAGATATGCCGGGCGCCAAATGACGTGATGTTACAACGTCACCTTCAATGTACAATTCCAAGGTCCTGTTCGAAGTGAGGCTTAGATAATGAATAATTATATGACGAACATTAGTGACTAATGTTCTATACATTCTCTCAAAATTGTTTTGGTTTTCCATTTTCGACCTCATTTTTACTGAGATGTCATCAAATTTCGAAACGCTTCAATAACAACAAGTTTTTCCTCTCGCCGGTAGAATACACATTAGACACAGCCTCTCTGGTTTGCAAATTTTTATTTGCGATCTCATCTCAACTGAACTGTGATAAAATCCAGTGATATTCCACAAATGAAATATATTATTCATTGCAATCTTCACACCTGACCAATTCACCTTCCCCTATTCCCTTGTTGAATTATGTTTTCGTAGCATTCTTATTTAATGTCACACCTCTGGTCAAATAGACCAATCATATTATATGTAATTTGCAGACAAGTCTGTAGCCGTCACACTATGTATTCCATGTGAAACCTACTCTTTGCGGATTGGCCGGTCTCAATATGCTATGTCCAGAGAGTGCTATTTTTCAGTACTAACCACAGCAGTTAGGCGTGCAGTGCTTATTTTTGGCACTGAAGGCATTATTTAAGATGCTAATCTTAATTTTAAGATTAAGTCGCAATAATTAAGCACCTGGCCCTCTTTCTCAGCAGGACCAGCGTTATTTCAGAATACAGTGGGTAGATATTTGTTGTCCGCCCAAAGTCTGGCTGCTTTGATTAAAAACACAAAAACACCAATGTTTGAACAAAGCTATATCTTCATTGAAAACGTCATAGTCTCCATGCGTAGACCAATATGGTTACCACTAAATATCGCAAATGTATACCATCGTTTCAAGTACTATATAGCTTCTTCTTCTTGTATTTATTTTGTAAATATACTTCCAATAATGTATTATTCATAATTGCATTTTATACCATTTTGCAGCTGCGCATGATTTTCTTCTCTTCCTGAAATAGCGTTCACTCACGTGGTGGCATAGCACTCACCCAGATATACGCTGTTCACTGGTTGACCATAACTATCAGCAGGAGACGGAACGAATTTTGGGTGACATTAGTAAACGGTTTACAATTTAACGTTTATAATAACCTGTTCTGATTGCTTGTACAATAATTGAACAATTTTAACTTTTGAGAAAGTATTAATTTATGATACTTCGGGATTGTAATTTATAACATTACCGATCGTGCCTGTAAAAATGGCATGCCTTTCTTGTAAGCTTACCTGTGTATACGAAATATAAACTATTATTATTATTATTACAAAGTCTCCGTTTACCATATAAAGGCATTATCAAAGAACAGGTAAGAATAAGTTTAGAATTGTTGTGAGCTTGGGTCTAGACTAAAAATACTGATCCAACCGTGGAGTTTGGAATTATTTACAATGGTCACTGGTTATAAAAATTTTGGCTAAAATATTATTGATGAGAAATGGTGTATTACCCAAGCTTACAATTCTAATTCTAACCTATGCGTCGATTGTGCCTTTTTATACCAGGTGAATATTTAATCTACCTAAAATGGACCCTCGATGTAATGAAATAACTCTGGTCCTTCTTAGAAACAACACTGGACGCTTAATTAATGCGACGAATTCTTAAAAATAGGACTTGTATCTGAGATCGAACTGAAAAATTGACACTACGTGCTGAACTAAGTCCCTTATTTCTGAATTATTTTTTATTTATTTTTATTTTTGATTTACAGCTTGATTCCACACTGTATTTTTGGTACAAGTATGGAATTTTCAGCATGGATATCGGTAGCCCAAATTTTGCAGGCCGACCATACATATCAGGTGTGCGCCGGCGTGGGCTCGAACCCCGGACCATGTGCATGATCGGTGAGAGTCCCAGTGAGGGCTGAACCTGGACCGAGAGGGTTGAAACAAAGCTGATTAGCAAACCCATTGGGTTCTAAGCTACTTCTGAAAATAGCTAGAAAAAGCAAACGGCGCTGAACTAGTGCCAGTCATACTGAGAACCGACACTGAGTTCTAGTCTGTGAGTATAATCAAACCATTTCAGAACAATTTCGGAATTAGCTCATCATAGAATATTACACTTAGTTAAGCACTAGAGAGATTTAATTCAGCGTTATAGTAAGCTTTGCTTGACATCACTGACAGTCTGTTCCTCATAGTAAAGTAACTTCTTACTCACAAGCTAACTTTAAAAAATATTTTCTATTGTGAATTGAAAATTGGCTGACGGCAAAGTATTATCCATACACAAGACTCACATACGTAGCAATTCTTCATAAATTGTGAAAAGACATTTAGGTTTCGGGGCAGCTGATAAATGTAAATGGTGGCAAATTACTTTCAGCGAAAATAAAGTGTTATTTGCATATCCGATTGATTGTGATTCAAATCCCGATATGCAGTCTCACGACTCCAGACATATGCAGTCATCCACACGAAACATTGAAATCCTGTAGTTGGACTCAGCCGAAAAATTACAGGGAATGCGGTGCTTTCATAGTAATGAGCCCAAAATAAAAATTTTCGGACAATGCTATCCATCTAGTTATCTCTTCCTTAATGCCAGTTCTCAGCAATAGCATGAGGGAATGGAAGCAGCAAAATCACTAGAATTAATGGGCTGTTTTGTGCAGCAAACTTTAGCCACATACCATGGTCGCCAAGTTATGCGTCCTACTTATAGGCTGTCACGAAACCGTATTTAGAATGCTTCCTTGAGGGAAACTGCAAACAGTGTTACAAAATCAGAGACATTCCCCCGCTTCCACAAGTCATATATACGAAGAGATATTTCCACATAACAACTAATTCTGACAAGCGAGACAAATCCGGAAGCAGACACCTAAATATCACCCTAATTTACCATATTCATCGAGTTCCGGCAATCAGAACTAGCAAATTCTCTAGAAGACACGCCAGTAAAATCGTCTACATAACTGCGTATAGTGTCGAACGAGATTTAGTGAATTCGTGGCACCATGAATCTGAGTGTTGGGGAAGGCATATGCTAGAAGCTCAGATAACCTCAATTCTTAAGCCAGGAACTAATCCGGATTGTCATGCCTTAAGTTAAACAACATTGGCTGTCAATATATTTGAAGATTGAACGATCAATTCTTGGTTGTTTGCTTGAAATCAACTTCCCCGATTTTCGCGGAGGCATCAATACGACAGTCATCGTCTCATCGGTCGCTGTTCAGAAAGAAGAGTGAAACATCGTCAGAAGTAATACAATGATTTATTATTGTAATATTTGTTCACAGACCTTAGTTCAGTTATACATTTTATATGTTGGTGCAACAATAAAGAAATATCAAACGGCAGATCGGTGTTTTGGTTTTTGCGTCCGTTATAACTAAGCGTTTCTGAGAAATCTTAGAAGAACAGCGTGGGCCCGAGCGTAGCGAGAGCTGGGCATTAACGGTTTATGAGACGTGATTGACAGTTTCTGACGATGCAAACAGATCTGGCGGATTGAAACAGTTGGTGAAAGTTTGGATAGTCGCCGTTCATTTTTCCTGGTGCCGGTCAAGTCCTCTTTGAACAAGCAATATCTGGAACGTTTTGGAATTTGGTCAAGTTCAACAATGCCTGGGTCAAAGAAGGGACAGAGTGTCTTGGATGCAAACAGGAAAGTAAGTCATGGTGACTTGTCTGTTAATTGTAACGATGTGTTTGATGTTAAACATGACATGGTTGATGTTACTGTTTCGCCGTTCAGGGATAATAGGAACATCAAACTCCCTAATTTAGAACCACGATGTTTTGATGGAAACCCGGCTGATTATTTACAATTTGTAAAGGAGTTTGAGATCATGCTGAGTGGTTTTTTATTAAATGATGAATTGAAGTTAATGTATTTGATGAGATATTGCACTGGAGATGCTGCAAGAGCTATACAGTGCTGTAAGTTTATGAAGCCAAAATAGGGCTACTACGAGGCTATGAGCATATTACGTCAAAGGTTTGGAAGACCTTCGATGATTGCAGGGAAATTATTCGAGGCTGTTAAGGGTAATGGTGGTCAATTACAGGATGACTCCCAGGCACTCACTGAGTTTTTAGATAATTTGCTAATTTACAAGAATGGAATGATTTCGATGAATCGCGTGAGTGACCTCAACTCGAGTTTTATACTAGAAGTAATAGCAAGACGTCTACCTACTCGACTGCAAAGGAAGTGGGTGAAGATAAGCTCCCGTATGGAGGATGAGGGTATCGAGCCAAAGTTTGATGATATCCTGAAACTGGTAAATACTAGTGTCAATCAATCTATGAGCAAGTTTTCCAGTCTGTTAGATCTCACCCCTAGAATAGAGCAGTCTGAGGGTAAAACGCACTCATTGATGACGAATAAGCCTCAGAGAGGTGGATATCGAGAAGGCTCCATGATGTCTAGTAATGCATATAGACCTAGTGAGTGTAACAGGTTTCGTAGTACATCCTCAACAGATAAGTTACAAGATGCAAGACAAACACGGCTTTGTTCTACACGTGTGCAAGAGGTGCATACAGAAGTGAACTGTGAACCAGTGAGCAAGTTCAGTGATAAGCTAAATGTAAACTCCAGGTCTGACTCCGAATTGTGTGACGATAACGGTGCGGTGAAGAAGTCTGTAGTTGCAACTGGTAAGCCATTGTTGAATAGAGTGTCACAGAATAGAGTTACTGCTTCAGAGTGCAGTTCTGACTCCACAAGTTTACAAAGTATAACTAGTCAGAGTGAAGATGTAAAACCTTTAATGATTTGTGAGGAGGAACCAAAATTGTCTACTTCTGTTATTAAAGAGTTTGAAAATGATGAACTTGACGGTAAAGTGAATATTCGTGATAATGATCATGATACTTCACAGTTGTCTTTGGTTGATCATTATGAGATGAGGGATATGCCTACTACTGCTAAGTTAAATAAAGGTTCTGTACAACTAGAACGTGAAGTAGAATTGAACGCAGATGCAGTTCCAGAAGATGTGCATACTTGTGAGACAGTCAGTGTAATTGATCAGC